AAAATCAAGAGTATCCTGAATATAATAAAATATTGGTAGCTTATTACAAATAGAACCAAGATAGGAAAAAAGGGGCCTTTAAAACCATCCTCTGGTGCCTTTCAATATTTCTAACTAGAAGCACACATCAATCCTTCCAAACTTACCAGGCTTAGACAGGCAAAATCGGTTGACTCCTTTGGAGAGGTTATAAATCCCCACATTCTCGGGTCCATTTCCATCCTGATAAAATTCCTAAGGGATCAAAGCCAATATGACGACTTACTAGGGGAGATGGAGACAGCAAGATGATTAATAATATTTCTGTTCCTGGACCAGTCATCTGTTTTGCCCATTAATCATCTGAGAACTTGGTGCCACAGGAAAATTAAAAACCTTCAAAAACTCCAAACAAAAACGTGTTCTTTTTCATTCACTCAACTACTCTTCATTGACACCAGCTAGGTGACAGAAACAGGGCTGGGCTCTGGGAGAGACAGACATGGCTCCTATTCCCAGGGGGTTTCCATTCTAATAAGGGAAGACAGAAAAGCTAAGGGTCAGCAAACTAATGAGGAGCTTTCAGATGATTGGTAATAGAGCTCTAGGTAAGAGAACAGTAGGCTCCTTTGAGTTTCAGTCTCAGGGCAGGCCTCTCCTGGGCAGGTAACCCTGGAGCTGTGGCCTGAACATGGAGAAAAACCAACTCTGTGGAGAAACTGAAGCATGTATCAGGCACAGGGAAGAGCACATGGAAAGACCCAGAGGAGGTAACAGCCTGGTGCATTCCACACAGTGGAGGAGGCCAGTGTAGTCAGGATGGAACGAGTGAAGCACAGAGAATGTGACTGGAGTTAGGTGAGAGCCATGGCTAGGGAACATGTACCTTATTCTAAGGGAAAGAGAAGTTCACTGGAGGGTTTAAAGGAAAAGAATGGCCTCCTGCCTATCACTTATTCTCAACTAGATATTAATTAACCCATTTCTGTAAGAAAACTCTTTACTGAATATTAACTGACTTCATTCCCAAGAACAAAGCTGTTTGTTGAGCATTTGTATTTAAGCACTTAGAGCAGGACACAGGCATTAGCAACACTAGCTTTAAGTCCTCTGGTGTCTAACATAAGCAGTCACTTAATTGCCATTTGTCTGTTTTGTCCCTGGGGTCTGAAAATGACAAGAAATTATGTAACACTCAGAAAGACCTACATAGGTGTTTCCTTCCAAAAACCCATGTGCTATGCTGCCCATCAGGCTACAGAGGCTACACTCAGCGAAAAGTTAGCAGTTCTTTTCTCTACACTGGAACAAATACCTGGAGAAAGCTTACTCAGCTGCACCTGCTAATAAATAATAGCAGTTATAAAGCACCCACATACATCAAGGGCAAGAGCAAGAACTGGCAATCTGCTTCCACAAAAATTTCAGCCTTGGAAACCCT